GGTCAGGGCAAGCACTTGTATACATATGGGAGGAATAAGTACTGGGCAGACCGGCTCCTTACGCTGCGCAGGACGTGGGCACGGCGGGGTTTGCTCGAGATGTTTCTGCTCACCATGTCTGGTACTAACCTCTCTGTTCTCATCTCTCTTCATCCTTCCTCCTTGTTCACCTGCTGTTTCTCACTCTCTCCTCCCACTTTCTTTCCTACGCGATCGGTGTCAGCAGATTGCAGGAACGTAGATCGCGTCACTGCGCGAAGGCGACCAACTAATCATGATCCTGCAAGAGGCCTTCTCCTGATGTATTTTGCTAGCCGATTTCCCCTTGTGTCCCGTTGATATTTGCTTCCAGCAGCCTCGCAACGTTCTCAATCCTTTGTTGTCGATGCCTATGCTTTCGCTCCCCGTGGCAACCACTCATGGTTTGACAGAGGCTTGAGCCAAGGATACGGCAAATTCGAGTTGTCCCGCGGCGCAGGGAATGCAGGTGTTGGATTTGGTGTGCAAGGCGTGCGCACTCAACACTTGCCTTGAGGTCGGCGCTGCGGTTTCGGGGCTGCCGTGTCCTCTTCGAATCATCACCGCCCATTCCGCTCCGTAAGGAGGAGGAGCAAGAGCAGGAGGAGGAGGAGGAGTGCTCCGGCACTTCGTGCTTGTGCCTTGGTCTAGCTCTCATTACCCATTTCATATCGGGTTAGTTTCTGATCGGCCGCGGCGGAGCTCACGATCGGATTTGTAGGCCGATCGGATCGTCTAAGTTTTGATTGCTTCTTGTGCCCAGAGCCCACAGCTTTCGAAATCGGGGTCCCCTGTTCCCGGCAGCGCCAAGTTCACCGGCAAGGAGTCGTGTTCCAGGCCGTCCTGACCAGAAAATGTGCGCGTAACAGCTCACGTCTTTTGCTTGCGTCAGCATCAACATCTGGGAGCCAATGCTTTGTCACTCATCTGCCGTCGAGCGAGTACTGTGGTTGTTGATCATGCTCGCCGTGGTGAGGTGTTGGCTTGCGTTTGCAAGCGGGTCAATGCAGGCAGCGTTGAAGCAACCTGCAAATGGATGGAGCAAGTGCACAGGGATCGGGATGCTCACAAACTTTCTTTTGCTCCGACGGATAATCGAATATGTCTACGGCGAACCACTGCCGCCCCCTGCCTGTTGGAAATTTCTATGTCATCAAACGTTGGGTCTAAGAGTCTTTACAACGTATTTTCCTATGTGCTCTCCCAGCTGTTGTTGACGCCCTTGGGGGAAAACGTGGGTGAGGAAGAAAGAGAGGAGAAGGAGAAGCTAGTTGCGCTTGCACCATATCTGACATGCTACCTCTCCCACCCATCACTTCCCATTGCGCTGACTTTTCTCTATCCGCGGACGCGTGTCATAGCGGACCTGAATATTTGATGCGCAGCCGGAAAAGGGGAAGTGTGCACATAGGAGAAGGAGGAGGAGGAGGAGGAGGGGGAGGAGGGGGAGAAGGAGGGGGAGGGTCGGATCGGATCGGCAGTCCACGGAGGCTTCTCTTAGAAAAGACAGCGTGGGAGTGAAGCACACATTACTCCAGCCGTTGGCCCCCAGACGGGAGAAGGAAACGGCCAAGACCATTAAGGTCCACACATTCCAGCAGGCACAGGACCCTGAGACACCAACAACGGGCCCGAACACACTCTTTAACAACAAAGTAGTGACAGGAGTACCGCACTTTAAGAGGAGCCGCGCGTCCCTTCACGGCCTACAGGCCGAAGGGCAACAGGTAGAAGTTGACGTGTGGGAGCTTGCCGCGCGAATTGCGGGGCCCGGGCGCTGGCGGGGGAGGGCGGGACCACCACCAGCATAAACCATCAGCTCCACCACGAAGAAGGGGGGAGTAAGGAGGGCACGAACACATGGCTAGGACAGCGACAGAGCTACAAGTACCCCCCCAGATAAGCATACTAAGATTAACCACTCCACCTCCAAACTTAAGAGTGAGCAGTGGCAAGTGTAAACCATCTATGGAGATCAGTCTGTCGTTTTGGGCCGCAGGCGATGGATTCTCCATTCCTGCTGAGAACAATTTTGAAAAGGTCACTGGGTTCTGGTTGCACTCCTTTAGCCTTTCCCTCTCTCTCTCTCTCTTTCTCTCTCCTGAGTAGTTCCACCATCCGTGCCAGCACATCATGTGGGAGAGGGGATGGGTAGGCGGAGGAGCCTCGACGGCAGAGGGGGAAAAGGGGGAGGATGGGCTACTAGACCCCATTTGTCCAAGAGCAGCCGAATGAGCACCCTCAAGCCGTCCTCTTCACCCGGGGGCATGGATTCACACGAGTTGAGCCGACGTGAATTGCAAGCGATCGCCGACGGGGATTTTGGAGGCTTGAGGGCCCTCGGAACCAAACCAGGTAGACGCAACATATAATTTCCGGAGCTCAGCCGACTTCAACATCACCATGGAGCATCGGATATTGGCCTAGCAAGTACGGAAGAATGGCCCTGAGCATTGTCGTTGCTATCACATCGCGCAACTTAGGCGGGTACGCCTTCTGTGGTGACGTCTTCCACCTTGTACATGTCTGGTCCCACCCCACAAGGGCGGCTTGTGCCGTGGGCCCATGGGAGCAATATCCTCATGCAGGGGTCTCCCTAAGAAGAGAGTGCAAATCTGGAAGCCGAATGCCTAGCAACGCCGTTGGCGCTCTGCCAACCTGACCAAACTCACACGGATCAAATGCGGTCTACGTAGCACGCGGGGCGGCACACACACATTCACACACACACACACACTCACGCACGCACGCACGCACGCACGCACGCACGCACGCACGCACGCACGCACGCACACTCACACACACACACACAAACACGCGCGCGCGCTTTAAAAGGCATGAGGCTCCACGAGGGGACGCTCCTTGGCTCCCATGCTGGGGGGGTGTTCCATCGAAACGCAGCCTTGAGAAACAGCCATAACCGATATCGGTTCGACCATGGATGAGAGAAAATCCTTTGAACCAGCCACTTGCAACTGCTGCCGCGGAGTGAGGTTGGTGAGCCCCCAAAGGGCCTGCCAAGTACGGAAGGGTGGGGCCTCCCTCTACCGTGTGGCACAGAAAGCTCGCAATCCCCCCCCTGGCAACATTTCTCCGTGCACGAATGTGATCATACAGAAGTCGTGATTGCGGTGGTGCTGCGTTGCATGAGATCCTGCGTGCCCCCCAACTCCTGGCGCTTCGTCGAGCTCCTCGGGACTCGCTCGCGGCCGCACCCCCTCTCTCCAGCAGCACTCACTACGTTGCCTTTAGCCTCTGCCTGGAGGGCCTGCAAAATCACCCTCACAGGCTGGCCGCCACTCTTTCCAGCTCAATCCAGAAATGTCCCTGGCGGACCTGGCGCAGGCCCGCCTGCGGGCCACCGTCTCTCCCGCGTGTTGGATGAGCTACAGCATCGCAGAATTCTGGCGCACCCTCGATGAGGGAATGCCCCCATACAAGTGCCCCTGGGGCTGTGGCAGGAGGCAGCGCGGGCGGCCGACGATGAAACGTCCCCGGCCGCTCGAGATCAGCGGCGTGCCAGGGTACCGCGAGCGCCCTTCTCGGCCCTTCGCGCCTCCCTCTGCCCCGACACGTTGGCTGAAAACCTCGCGCGCCTCTTGCACGCGGCACTGCCCACACCCGGGATACCAGAAGATGTTTCCGCACGCTGGACAGAGTTTTCCAGCCAGCTAGCACGCAGGGCACCAGCAGTTCATTTGGTTTGGCAGGGGCGTGGTGGAACAGGCGCCTCTTCCTGGCCGTCACGCACAAGGCCTGCTTGTTAGGGTGTGAGTTTTGCCCAGACCGTCCCCGCCATTATCTCGCGGACCCTCGCTTGCTCCACTTCCTCGCCTTATCTCGCTCCCCACCTTTCCTCCGACCCCCTGACCCGCATTTACCTTGGAACATATTTGTACTCATCATATTCCAGGAACCGTTCGATGCACGGCCCCATCTTTTCACTTCTATCGTAAAAAACATGTAATCACGCTCGCCGCGCCTATCGCCGCGCTTCTTTACACAATGGGCACCGGGTGCCTGGCCACCGCGCGCTACAGTATGATGGCTCAGACGCCACCTGGATTGAGGGAAGGTACGGTCGCTCCTCTTCCTCTTTTTCCTCCTCCTCCTCCTCCTCCTCCTTCTCCCTCCCCATCCCTCCGTGTCGTTAATTCTCGGACCCGTCCTGCTCCAGCTCTTCCTGCTTGTCTTCGCGCTTGTCTTCATAATTGTTGCCCTAGTGATCCCAGAGCTGCCCTCCCCGGCATCCACGCTGTCATCCTCGTCATCCGCCGCCTTGTTGTCGCCGTCATCTTCACGAGCCCAATGGAAAAACGACGTTTCCCGCTCTTGTCCGATCAGGTTTAGCCAAGATATTGCCATACACCAGTTTGTCGAACGTGCCTCTCTCGCTGCCTCAGCCTTGCCAGGAAGCTCTTGGAAGAGCTCCGCAAGTACGACATGCGAAAAATAGAACCGTGGGTGACCCTGTCGAGCCATAGTGTGTGCGAGGCTACTCTTATAGTTCAGCGGTGGCTGGTGTGGTGATGACATATCATGGCGGTTTTCTCAGCAGCAGGAAGCGGGTTCCTTTGAATTGTGAGCCGAATCGAGTGCTTTCACATTTCAGTCCATCGTCAGTGTCTTACATGCATGCAGAAAGTGAACACAGTTTCAGGATTGTTCGGTGCAGTTCTCTGCTCCTCTTGCGTCGTGCCTCTTTCCTGTTTAGGTCTTTCTCGCTTCCGCGGTTGGATCCAGCACAACTTATCGTGTGTGGGAGGGCGGGGGTGGAGCCGCCTCGTGACCATGTGCGGGGCGAGCCTGATTGGTAGCCTTTATTGATAGCCTTGTGACGGGCCGCCTGTCTGCCGTTTTGCCTACAGGCTCTCGCTGATCGTTGTTCCCCCTTGCCCTGGCCGAGGGAGGCCGCACGTGCGCTCAGGCAGCAATAAGACACAATGAATGCCACGCCGCATCTGTTTTACCATGTGCAATGCAGTGTTTTGTTGGCCCAAGCATTTAATGCAGGGACGCCTCTAGGGATTCCCAGAAGACATGAAGCAGTGCTTCTACGAGGTACTCGGAGTCGAACGATCGTGCACCCTGGACCAGTTACGGTCGGCGTACAGAAAGCTGGCACCGGATCGAGTGTCTGCTGATCGTGCGAAGGCTGGGCCCGATTGCCATCGCGATATTGCAACATCAGCCGTGTGACTGACGGGGTCGATGTGATAGGGGCTCGTGATCGCTATGCTTTTCCAACCATCCTGTGGTGTTGGGTGCGCCCCACGTCCCTCCTCTTCCTCCCTCCTCCCTCCTCCAATCCCTGCCTCAGCCTTCGGCATGTCCACTCCGGGACACCCCTCACACGTTTCGTGACCCAAGCGGAGCTCCAAATAAGGCTCCAGGGGGGGGGGGGAAGGACACATGCGCTCCCCAAACCAATTTCGGCACACCACTCACAGTCTTCGTGGCCCCATAGGGAGCTCCAACTAAGGCCACAGGGGGGGGTATCACATGCGGTCCCCCGGCCCATTTCGGCGCACCCTTTACACGTTTCGTGGCCCCATTGGGAGCTCCAACTAAGGTCCTAGGGGGGGTACCGCATGCGGTCCCCGAGCCCATTTCGGCACACTCATCGCACGCTTCGTGGCCCCATATAGAGCTTCACCTAAGGCCCAAAAATCTGCGCCCGCATGCCTGGTCCACGATTTCGGCGCACCCCTCACACGCTTCGTGGCCCGATAGGGAGCTCCACCGAAGCCCCCAGGGAAGGGTGTAGCACATGTGGACCCCCAGCCGATTTCGGCACACTTCTCACACGTTGCGTGGCCCGACAGGACGCCCCACCGAAACCCCCCGGGCCTCAGGGGGGGGGGGTCGCATGCGGTTCCCAACCTAATTCTGCACACCTCTCACACGCTTCGTAGCCCCATCGGGAGGTCCAACCGGAGCCCTCAAAGGGGGGGATTCGCATGGGCCCCCCCAGCCAATTTTGGCACACCGCCCACACATGCCGTGGCCCGATAGGGAACTCCGCCGAAGTCCCCAGTGGCAGCGCCCGCATGCGTCCCCAGGCCCACTCCGTCACACCCCTCTCGCACGTTTCGTGGCCGTATACGGAGTTCCACCGAAGGCACCATTGGCGGCGCCCGCATGCGCCCCAGAGCGAATCTCGGCACACCCCTCACGCGCTTCGTGGCCTTATACGGGGTTCCACCGACAGCCCCAGCGGCAGGACCCGCATGCGCTCCCAGGCCCAATTCGGCACACTCCTGAGACATTTCGTGACCCCGCAGTGAGCTCCACTGAAGGCGATATTCGCAAGTGCGGCGCTATCGACTGCATATGGTTGGGTTCGTCGCCTGGATCATCCTCAGGATCCATGTTTATCCTCCTGCTCATCCTTCTGCTGGTGTCCTCCTGCCTCCTGGGCTCTGGTTTTGTCGGATGTTTGGTCGGCATTCGATCTGACGGATTCATGTTGCGACGCGCATTGAATCGAGATAGCGAGTTGGTCGCATGCTCAGGGGCAGCCAGTAGAATGATGGAGCCAGATGTTAAGTAGCAAGCTAGTCGGGCAAACGCTCAGGCCCTCAAGCACCATCCAGACAAGGCGCAACCCGAGGAGCGGAAAGAGGCGACTGAGCGCTTTCAGATTATCCTCGAGGCGTACGAGACTCTGAAGGACCCTCACGAGAGAGCCTGGTACGACGCTCACAGGGACCAGATCCTCCGCGGAGAGGAGGACGTCGATGGGGAGCCGAAGGCTTCGAAGGTTGCTGTCTGGTCGCTGTTCCGCCGCGGGGCCTTCAAGGAGTTCGACGACTCCCACGATGGCTTCTACGCGGTGTACCGAGAGGCTTTCGAGACGTTGGCCTCGGAGGAGGCGGAGGCCTCGGACGGAGAGCCCATGATCTACTTTTCGTTTGGGACAAGAGATACGCCGTGGCAGGACGTGTCGAAGTTCTACAGGCAGTGGTGCGACTTCGTCTCCGTCAAGAGCTTTGCAGAGATGGCCCCCTTGGTTGCAAACACGCCCGCACCTATTCACCCTCCTTCCCCCCCTCCTCTTCCCGGATCCTTGGAGGAGGGTCCGCATACAAGGGTGTTCGATTTCCCGTGCATCCCAGGACAAGTACCGCCCGCAAGATGCGCCCAATAGGCAGATCCGCCGGGTCATGGAGCAGGAGATAGGGCAGCCAAATTCAGAGCGATAATTGAGATACGACCTTCTTCTGCCCCCTTCTCCTGCATGGCAACGGCTTGGGAGCACCACCCCCGCAGACAAGCAGACCCCCGTCGCGGGCAAACGCCGCACACCGAGGGCGCCCCGATCCCCGTCGCGGTGCGCCGACGAGGCGAGGTCGGTTTCCATCGGCAGTCTGTGTGTCTCCTCTCGTGGACCACGGCCCTGCACGTCCCGCCCCCGCCGCAGGGCCGGATGGGCGCTCGCTCTTCCCGCCCGCTCGCCCTCCCCAGACAGGAACGAGTGCCGCTTTTCCTTGTGTGACCCCCACCCTGCCAAGCCGATGTGCGAATCCGCTAGAGGCGGCTGTGTCCACCCCCGAGAGTGTGACCGTTGCTTTGGTCTTGGCCGCCCATGCAGAGGAAAACAAGAAGCTGAGAGCCTCGGCGCGGAAGGACTTCATGACCGCTGTTCGCCGCCTGGCCGAGCGCTGCAGGAAGTCCAGAGGGTCCCAGAATGGGGCTCAGGCACAGAGGGTTGGGCCGATCCCCTTCCCGGGAAATCTTAGCGCCTGCCCCTTCGCCCACCCCCCTCCTCTCCCTCTCTCCCCTTCCCTTCCCCACCCGCCCTCCTACACAACTACTCTCTCCTCTCGGGTCTCTGGGGGCCTCTTGGGGGCCTCTTGGCCTTCAAAGGCCCTCTTGGGGGCCCCCTCTGGGCCGTCGTGTGACCCTCTTTGGGCGCTTTGGGGCCGTCTTGGAGGTCTGCCCTGTTCGGGCCGTTTTGGAGGGCAGGTGGCTCGTCATGGATACTTTTTGAACCGTATTGGTGTCCTCTTGGTGGCCTGTTGGGCCGTCATGAGGCCATATTGGAGGCCTCTGGGGCCATCTTCGGATGTCGGGAGCCCGAAATGGCGAGAACGCGAAAATGATTGTTGGGCTTACGCCACACCGCCGGCCCCTTGGGGAACTGGTGGTTATTGCGTGTTGCTCCTGAGGGCCACTTGTGCGCCTTTGTGGAGCTTCTTGGAGCTCTTTGGGGCTTCCTGGGGACCTCTTGGGGGCCTTTTCGGGACCTCTTGGGCTGACATTCTCAGTATCAGCAGTGCACGCATGGGGAAACGGGCGAGAACGCACGTATGCAGACGGCGGGCATCTGTCAAAACACCAGAATAATGACTCTCGACTGGCCTTCGGCATATCCCGCCACAGTGCCTGTGTTGCGGGTCTGAGGTCACTCGGAGGGCTGATGGGGTCTCGTGGGAGGCGTCTCGGGGGCGTCTTGGAGGCAGTGGGGCCTCCTGTGGACCTTTTGGGGGCTTTTTGCAGCCATATTGGGGCTCCCTGGGGGCCTGGGGGCTTCTTGGGGCAACCCGGAGGCGTCTCGGGGTGGAAGACTCGAAATGTCTGGTCGGGGCCCTCCTTGGCCGTCTTGAGGGCTTCTTGGGCCGTCTTGGGTCTCTCTTGGGTCGTCGTGGAGCTCTCTTGGCGGCCTCTTTGCCCGTCGTGGGGCGATCTTGAAGGCCTCTTGGGCTGTCTGGGACGTCGTGAACGCCCAAGAGGCGAATGCGCTAAAAATGCATGTTTGCCAAAGGACATGTGACGTTTTTGTTGCTTCTGGAGGCCCTCTTGGGACGCCTCTTGGGGGCTTCTTGGTGCGTCTTGGGGGCCTCTTGGGCCGTCTGGAGGCCAGCGTGAGCGTTTTGAATCGATCTTTCAGCGACTCGTGGCCCTCGTGGACCGCCCCAAGGGCCTCTTCGGGCCCTCTTGGCCCGTTTTGGAGCCCCCGCCACCCATGGCGCGTTCGGGCGGTCCCCTGGGGGACACCCCCCCTCCAAATCGACCGGACCGGGGTCCTGGGGGAGGAGTTTGGGGAGGGGAACCATCTCACACGCCAATGAACCCCAAGGGGTCGGCGGATTGAACATACACGGGCGTCTTGGGAACATCTTGGGCCGTCCGGAGGGCATCGTAGGCCGTCTTGGGCCGACGTGGAGGTCATCTTGGCTCTCTTGGGGCCACCGTGGCTCTCTTTGGGGCGTCTTGGGGCCATCTTGGAGGCTATATTCGGCCATCTTGGGCGTCTACGAGGCCATCTTGGGGTCGTCTTGGGCGGGAAGACGGATGACAGGTACGTGTCCGTACGGCTTGCGGGTCAAGACGAAGGTCATTGGGAATTTTTCAGGAACGTTAAACCAGCAGAGCACGTCAAGCACCCCTGTGATAAGCACAGGTGGGCGGCGGATCGAAGACGCATACGGCGAGTCACCGCCGTTCCCTGACTTTTGAAACCGTCCATGCGTCCAAACGATGGGGCAAATATTTGCCCAGGTATTGGACGATGTGCTCCACCAGCTGCTGTGGAAACCCTTGGAGACCACTTGTGGGAGGACATTGGGGAGGAGCAGAAGAGGATAATGATGAGGACAACAGGGAGGAGAAAGAGACAGGGAGAAGAACGCGGAAAAAGGAGGAAAGGAGGAGGTGGACAAGAAGAGGAATAGGAGGAGGAGGAGGAGGAGGAGGAGGAGGAGGCCTCTTGGGAACCTCTTGGTGCACCTTGTTGCCTCATGGGAGCTTCCCGGGGGCCTCTGTGGCAATCTTAGGGCGTTCCTGGCCCGTCTGACGCAGTCGGAAGCCGTTTGGGGAGCATCTCTGGGTCGACTTGGGGCTCTCTCGGGGCACTCTAGGGCCTTCTTGGACTGCTCTTCGGCCGTCTTGTGGGCCGTCTGGGGCCTCTTGGCCCGTCTGGGGACCCTCTGGGGGCCGATTGGGCCCTCCTGGGGTGACCTTGGAGACCTCTTGGGCCGTCCTTGGGCCATCCTGGGGCCATCTTGGGCGTCTAGGGTTCACCTTGAAACGCCTTGAAGACATTCTTAGAGCCACATGAGTCGTCCTGGAGGCCATCTTGGCCGCCTGGGGGCTATCGTGGGGCCGTCTTGCACGGGAACGCCGGAGGGGCTGAAATTTCTGAGTGGCTGGCGGGATCGGCCGAGACACCATTGGGAATTGTTCCAAAGAGCCAACGCCACTCGGCAAGTTGGCACGCCGTGCATCCCTGTGGCAAACTACAGGGGGCGGTGAATCGAAAACGCGTGCGGCGAATCACCGCCGCCCCCTGCCTTTTGGAAATGCTCATGCGGCCAAACGTTAGACCGATGGCCAAGCTATTGGACGATGTGCTCCCCATGCGTACTGGACCCCCCCCGGGGGTGAACACAGAGGGGAGCAAGAGGAGAGATGAGGGTACTGAGGGTACTGACTATGCGGGCACTGCAGGGTGTCCTTCGCCTCGCGGGTACAAATTCAGCTCGACAATCTTCGTCAAGCTGCAAAACCTCCTCCCGATCCTTCCGGCTGGAGCGCTCCCATTTGACCAGCTCCTTGGGAGAGGCAAAACCGTGCAAGTGAGCGACGCTGGTGGCGTCAAGGCTGAGGAGGCGAAGCAAGCGTCCACCTGCCTACTGTCCCTTCTCTCCAGTCGCGGGGATCACACTCCCCGCTGGCGTCCAGCCACCTGGCCCATGCTCCCATGCTGTCTTGTCTTACAGCCTCGCTGTCTAGCAGCAGCAGCAGGCTCAAGCAGAGTCCCCCTAACAGCTTTCATCTCGAGGGTCGCTCCGTGGGCCGAGCCATCTTAGCATCCCCGTGCGTGTGCCCAGGAAGCGAGGTCCCCCTGACCTTGGAGCGCTGGGTTTCTAGCCCTGGGTTGCTTCGACCCTTCGCAGCTCCCTTGGAGTCCTCTGGCCGACTTGTGCACAGAAGCTCCGCAAACCGTGCAAAACAAAATGTCGGGGAGGTCCTGGCCAGGGACCTGCACGGACGCCAGGGAGCGGCCCTTGACAACCCACGGAACACCTGCGCACGAAACAATATTGGCGTCGTCCTTTGGAGGTCCTGACTGACCTGAGGGAGGAGTGCGGGCCGAAGACGTGGGAGACACGTCCTCGACCTGTCAGCCAAGGCCCAGTCCCGAAACGGCACTTCCCCATCCCCCAGGCACATCTGAATGAATTCAGGGGGCAAATCCATATCCAGAACAACATGGCCTGTGCACACGAGCTCCTCCGAGTCAGGCTGCACGGGTTCACCAGAAAGTTCGTGACACTTCCTCTACCATCGTATAACGCCTGTGGCCATCCCCCTACATCCCAGAACGACATCTAAATGCCCCTCCAAAGTTTCCCAGAGTTTAGCCCAGGAGTGTCGGCCATCGCGTTGCCTCTGGTGGGACATTCCTCATGGTCCGACGTGGCCGAGGCTAGGATCTGGTGCGCAACAACTCTGACAGCCCGAGCTTGTCTGTCTAGACCTTGCCACCAACTGCGCCACAGTTGCTGTCTCGGGTTATCGATCCCTGAGGCTGCACTCTAATCTTGTGCACATCCGATAGACACCGCACAAGCAGGATGTACGACAAGTTGATCCCCCGTCGGCCACTCACTAAACTACGCTAGCATCCGAAAGGCTCAGTCCTCCCCGTCGCGAGCCGCCTGTTTTGGGGCAGCTTGGCGAGGGACGGCGCCGTACGTGGCGCCGACGAGCTGGCCCTCACGATTATTCTGGATGACTGACCACCCTGCGCGGTTAAGTCCTTGCATGTGAGAGTGAAACGCGGACCCGTCCAGGAACACCTCATCCGACAACCTCCATCCAAGGAGGACTTTCGCGAACCTGAGCTGGCCCTCCTCGGAGACCTCCGCGCAGGGGAAACAAACACGTGCTCAGATGTGGCTAGGGAAAAGTCCGACCTCGGCAACCAACTCGGCTTGCTCCTCGCCGAGATGCCGAACAACATTGGCCGCACTAACATGCCCAGGACACCCTTCTCTCCTGAGGGCAACACATCGATGGCAGTCGTAATACCTGTGCCACGAGTGCGACAGCGCACGCAACGATCGTGGCCGGCGTTATGGTGTGCAAGCAGCTGGGCCTTAGGCCAAAACTATCGAATGGCCGTCGGCCCATCCCGCCACCGTGCCTGGGTTGTGGGTCATGGGCCACCAGGTTGTTCGTTGGGATGTGTGCCTCTTGGGGCCCTCGTGGAAGGCCTTTTGGACCTGAGGCTTCTTGGGGTCACTCTGGGGGCTGGCTGACGGTCTCAGGGGTCATCTTCTGGCGGAGAGCGCGACATCTCAGTTACAGTTCTCTCTTTTGGGACCCTTTGGGTCCCTCTTGGGCAGTTTGGGGGACCGTCGTGTGGGCCCCTCTTGGGCCGCCTGGTGGGGCTTCTTGGGAGCTTCTTGGGCTGTCTGCCGGGCGCCGTTGGCAGTCTTGCGGCCTTCTGGGGCAGTTTTGGAGCCTCTTGGGCGCTTCTCCAGAGAGTTTTGGTGTGATTCGGCACGTTTTGGTCGGGGTCCGCATGCAGGAGGCCCACGCGACCCCCCCCGCGAATTCTAGGAAGTTCGGGGTGTGGGCCTTTCAGACCCCCGTCGAAGCATCGATCCAGCTTTCAGAAAATGCATGAGCCTTGGGGTCACTCCACTACGTGCTGATGCTACGGTGGCGGATGTTTCTTGCGAGCCAGTGCGGGCCTTGTGTCCGCAGGCGGTAATCCACTATTTCTCCCTCCTCCCCCGTCCGCATCCTTCTTCTCCTGACGCCCCCCCTGGGCAAGGGGGTGAAGCGGATGGGTCCGCGCCAACCCTTTTGTGCCATAATCCCCGTCCTCATCTTTGTCCTCCTCATCCTCGGCCTCATCATCCGCGCCCTCGCCGTCTTCCTCCTGCTGCTTCTTCTCGTCGTCGTCGTCGTCGTCGTCATCAGCCTCTTTCTCCTTCCCCCTCCTTCTCATCCTGCCCCTCCTAGTCCTCAAGCACCTCAATCTTTTGGGGCCAGCACTTTTTGCTTAAACCCACTTCAACTGCCGCCAGGAAGTGGGACCCGCGAGTCGAGCAGCACCAGAAAGAGGACTCCAGCGGCCTTAGCAGGGGTCGGTGGTCCCCCGACCGTCGGCGAGGGGGGATGAGGATGATGAAGGGAAGGTGTGGGGGAGGAGGGAGGAGGGAGGAGGAGGAGAAGGATGAGGAGGAGAAGGAGGAGGAGGAGGCGGGAGGAGGAGGAGGAGGAGAAGTAATAGGGACGATGATGAGGGAGAGGGACGATGGTGTAGAAAGAGGAGGAAGATGAGGAGGAGGAGACGGGAGGAGGATGTCCGAGGATGCCTAGGGGGACTAACTGTTTGTTGTTGTATGCAATATTTCTTGCTCGAGCGCCTTCGTGAGAAGTACGTTTGCGAATTGCGCCAGCGAGCCCCGCCTGTGCCTGACCAGTGATTGATTCAACACTGCGGAGGAGGCATGTGTGTGCGGTGTGTGTGTGTGTGTGTGTGTGTGTGCGTGTGCGTGTGTGTGTGTGTGTGTGTGAGTGTGTGTGGTTGTGTATGTGTGTGTGGCTGTGGCCTATCCTGTCTGTCCATGATCCCGCGCCCCTTTTCCGACCTTCGGGAACTACAGGCTCGCACGCGCTCCCACACAAGGTGTGGTGTAGTCGTACGCGTTGCGCGCGCCTCTCCGAGCCCTGATTCGCCGCGACGCCGCGCGCGTGGCCGCGAACTCAACACAGTTGGTTCGTGTGTTTGTGTGACCTCGAGTATTCAATGGAGGGCCCTATGGCCAGGATGGAGCGAGGATGACGATGGCAACGGCAATGGCAATGGCAATGATGATGATGATGCTGATGATGATGATGATGGTGATGATGATGATGACGATGATGATGATGTTGATAATGGTGGTGGTTGTGACGAGCTGTCACTTCTGATGAATACTTGTTGTTGATCCCCATCACAGGTGCCCAATGTCTTTTCAACTGAAGTGCGCCCCCCAAGGATCGCACCGCTTTTGTCAGGGAAAGTATTGATGCTCAAACGACGTTGGTGGGCCCCAGAGCTACAACAACAGCGGTTCCCGCCTCAGACTTCCTCACTACATATGCAGGAACCACGGTTTTGCTTGAGATTGCTTTTTAGTATGCTCAAGAATCGCGGTCTCGCCCGTGATTCCTTTGCAATTTATTTCTGTGCTTGCTCTCGACGCCCTGGAATCGCGCTCTCGTCAGTTCCTCACAGAATACTCAGGACTTGTGCTCTCGCCTGAGCCTTATACACAGTTTACGAAGACCGCCTCAGCGCCTCGCCCGCCCGACCCGCCTGCGAGGGCCCGCCCGCCCAATCAGCCTGTCAGGGTCCGCCTGTGCGACCCGCCCGTTCGGGTCCGCCCAGTCGCCTGGAAGCCCGCCCGCTCGCTTTAATGTGTCCCGGCCCGTCCGTTGGGGTCCAACCTCCCGACCCGCCCGTTCGAGTCTTCCCGCCCGGCCCTCCCGTTCGGGTCCGCTCACCCGATGTGCCTGTCAGGGTCTATCCGTTTGTTTGGTTGGAAGCCCGCCCGCCCGTTTTCATGTCCCGCTCGCCCGACCCGCTCGTTCGGGTCCGCCCGCCCGACTCGCCAGTTGGGTCCGTCCGCCCGACTCGCCCGTTAGCGCCCGCGCATCAATATGCTTGCTCCTCTCTCCCCCCCTCCTTTTATTTTTTGGTCGTCCTCATTCTTCCTCCCTCCCTCTTGCCCTCGTCCCCTCTCGCTTCCTCATCCCTTCCCTTCCTCGCTCTCTCCCCATTTCCTTTCTCTCGGCTCGTCGTGTTTTAGGGGCCGCACCAGCTACACATGGCAGGCGAGGAAGATTCACACAAAAAGATTATACAATCGACAACGAACAGGTCTGCTATCGAGGGTTTGGGCGTGGGGGGTATGCATGTTGAGTGCCACGCGAGGAAAGAATAGCGAACTGTATCAGCATGCGGTTGTGTTGCTGATGTTGGCGGTGCGGTCGATGACGATGACTATGATGTTGACGATAAGGATGACGGTGAGTTTTATGATGATGATCTTGAGGATGACGATGTCGCTGATGATGGGGGTGCTGGCGATACTGACGATGATGCTGGTAGTGGTAGTGGTAATGATGTTGGTGATGATGATCGCGATGATGGTGCTGACGACGAAGACAATGACGATGCTGTTGATGATAATGGTGATGGCGATGATTAGGATGATGATCATGCTGATGATGGTGATAACGATGATGATGATGATGATGAGGAGGATGATGATGATGATGATGATGATGGTGCTAGTGATGGTGATGGTGATGGTGATTATGGTGACGATGATGCTGATGCTGATGATGATGATTGTGATGCTGATGATGTCGATGATGATGACGATGCGGATGAGGATGATTATGATGATGATGATTATCATGATGTAGAAGATGCTGATGATGATAATCACGATGACCCTGGCAATAATAAATACTGGTGATGATGACGATGATACTGCGAATGGTGATGATGACGGTGGAGATGGTGATGTTGCTGATGATGCTGATTATGACAATGCGATGCAGCTGATGAAGCTGATCCTGATGCTGATGCTGATGACGATGATGATGATGATGATGATGATGATGATGGTGGTGATGATGACGATGACGATGCGACTGGTGATGCTGGTGGCGGTGATGGTGATGCTGCTGGTGGTACTGATGGTGATGACGAAGATTATTAGGATGAGCAAGATGAGGATCGTGGCGATGCTGATGATGACGGTGATGGTGATGATGGTGCTGCTGCTGTTGATAATGATAATGGCGATGATGATGGCGATGCAGATGCTGATGATGCTGATGCTGATGATGATGGTGGTGGTGATGGTGATGCTGCTGATCATGCTGATTTTGATGATGTGATGCTGATGATGAAGCTGATGCTGATGCTGCTGATGATGACGATGTTGACGATGATGGTGATGATGGTGATGACGATGATGCTGATGCTCGTGATGATGCTGACGATGGTGATGACGATGATACATCTGATGATGGTGGTTATGGTTATGGTTATGACTGCGGTTATTGTTGTGGTTATGTTTATGGTAAGGATGGTGATGCTGATGATGAGGATGATGATTATGATGATGTTGCTGGTGATGATGACGATGATGATGATGGTTGTGATGATGCTGCTGATGATGATGACGATATTGATGATGATGATAATGCTGATGACGACGGCGATGATGATGATGATGATTATGATGCTGATGATGACGATGCTGATGATGATGTTGATGATGATGACGATGCTGATGATGATGATGATGATGATGATGATGATGATGATGATGATGATGATGATGATGATGATGATGATGATGATGATGCTGATGCTGATGATGATGATGATGGTGGTGGTGATGATGATGATGATGATGAGGGAGGGGGGAGGAGGAGCAGGAGGAGGAGCAGGAAGAGGAGGAGCAGCAGGAGGAAGACTTGAACAGTGAATGGGGGCAGTGCGATCCAGTGCAGTCGCAGGGGCCGTTTGGGGATGTCCCTTTGCTCCCTCTTCCTGCTCATCTTTCTGCACTTCCTTTTGGTTGCGGGAGCTCCTTGTCCTCCTCCTCCTCCTCCTTTTCCCAATCCTGGGGAGGCGACCCAGATCGTGCCTCCCCGCAGCAGGTGAGGTCTTCTGCGAAGTACAGCTGGCCGCGTCACTCACGATGCATCCAATCGCGGCTGGGCTGCTCCAAGTAGCGCTGCTCCTTGCTTTTCCACGCTCATATTACCCTGCGACTCGTGCGAAGTGCTCGAGGAGCGCCATCCTCGCCGACAGCCCCAACTCGACCCCTGACGCGGACCACTACGTACCGCGCGCCGAAGGCGCTGCGCCCCCCGTCGCGGCGCGCCGACGAGGCGAGGCTGACCCCCGTTGTGGTCGGGCTCCCCGCGCCTAGCAGCGAACTCAGGGCAGGGATGCGTCTCTGGAGTGTGCACCTGCCTGCCTCTCTCCCTCCCACTTGCTGGGGTTAGGAGGCTGCCTGGCCGCATCGGGGGCAGAGGGTGGCAGAAACGCCAGTGGCCGGGACGGCCCTGGAGGAAGCCGCGAAGGCGAAGGAGGCGGCCGTGGAGAGGGCGGAACGCCAAGAGCGGGACAAGGCTGACAAGGCCGCGGCCAGAGAGAAAGCACGCGCCGAGGAGGCCGCGAGGTGGGCGGCGAGGCCCGGCGGCCGAAAGCACCCAGGCTGCCATCGCGTCGTGGAGCGCTCACAAGGGAAGGCGTCCCACCCCGCTCTCGGCCTCGGTGAGGGGGCGGCCTCCCCTGGGCCCAGGACCGTCAAGACATGGCTGGGGCTGAAACTTTGGGGTCGTCGGCGAGCGGGGTAAGGACCAGAGGTGTGTGTGTGTGTGTGTGTGCGTGTGGGTGTGGGTATCATGGCCGGGGCCACGAAATCTCCCAGATATCATGGCCCCTCCTTCTTCTCTCAATGCGTCCGAAAGAGCGCCCTGCGGGAGAGACGAAGAGCAAGAGCGGGATCCCAGCTTCAAGCTACCCCCCCTCCTTCCACAGGAGGGGAGCTTCCGAAATCATCCCACCACCTTGGGCAGCTGGACCTGACCTTTGAAGGGAGGGGGGGCTTCCGAAGTCCCCCCCCCCCGCCCTCCCCCCGAAGCCGGGGTAAGCCCGGGCTGCGGTCTTGAAGGGGGTGGGGGGCTTCGGAAGCTAACCCTCCCGCATTAAAGGGGGCGCTTCGGAAGTCAGGACCCATTCCCATTTTGGCTTCCAGGGTCGGCCCGGGCTTACCTTTCGAAGGGAGGAGCGGGGCAGAAGCTACCTCACTCCCCACCCCCTTGCGAAGCAGGGGGTCGCTGGTCAAGGGGGGGGGGCTTCAGAAGCTCCCCCCCCTCCCCCTCTTTTCGGGGCAGGGTGTGAGCCTGGGCTGACCTTGCACGAGGGCGGGGCTTCAGAAGCCACCCTCCCCTCCCCCTTCTTGTGGATTTGCGCGAAGTGTTGTTGTCGTTGTCGTCGAGTTCGTCGTATTCGTCGTCGTTGTTTTTGTCGTCTTCGCCGTCGTGCTTCTCGTCGTCGTCGTCGTCGTCGTCGTCGTCGTCGTCGTCGTCGTCGTCGTCGTCGTTGTCACTCTCCTCGTCGCCGCTGTCGTCGTTTTCGTCCTCGTCGCCGTCGTCGTGCGTTGACGACAGTGCAGAGCAGAGTGACACATACTAGTTGTTTCCGCTCTCTGCGTTTCCACTTGGGGCAAAGCAGAATGGTGTGTTATCCGCCCTCCGTGGTGCCACGCGGCGAGCACAAGCGACTGTCGAGGACACCCGAAGGACTTCATTAACATTCCGACGGGTCCTTGGGAATTTCGATGGGTGCAACAGGATGTTGATGATTGTCATGCCTAGAGTTGGATTGTCGGAATGGGGGGCAATGGGGTGGGCTTCGGGCCGGAGGGGTACATAGGGAGGGGGAGTAGCGCGTCGTCGTCGTTGCGTCGTCGTCGTCGTCGTCATTGCCGTCGTCGGCGTAGTCATTGCCGTCTTCGGCGTCGCCACTCGGAGAGGAACGTTAGTTGATTCCCATCCCGTTCCTTCCGCATTTTCCTGTGAGTGCTCTTTGTTCCCGCCCCGTTCTTCACGAGGCGAGTACAGTAGAACTTTGTTTACTTTCGCCCCCGTGCGTTGCCATGTGGCGAATATGGTAGAAGGGCGTTATGTCCCCCAAGCGTTGCCGCGTGACTAGTGTAGTAGGATGGTGTTCGTGTGGTCTTTAGTTGCGCCACGCGACGAGTATGGTCCACGATCGAATGCGTTCCATCGTGAATCCACGCGAGTTCGTTGAGGATCTCGGGCGCGCGAGCGGGTGGGCGCACGGGCCGCATGGGCGGGCGGGCGGCTGAGTGGGTGGGCGCGCAGGCGGGCATGCGGGCGGGCGGGGGTGGTCGCGCGAGCGGGCCTGCGCGCGGGGTGGCGGGCGGGCGCGCTAGCGTGCGAGAGGGCGGGCGCGCGGGCACGCGTGCGGGCGGTCGTGTGGCGGGCGGGCGTGGGGGGGGGCACGGGCGGGCGTGGGGGGGGGCACGGGCGGGCGGCTGGGAAGCGGAGTGGGCGGGCGGGCGCGCGAGCGGGCGGGCGGTCGCGCGGGCGGGCGGATGTGCGGGTGGGTGAGCGGGCGGATATGCGGGCGGGCGGGCGCGCTGGTGGGCGGGCGGGCGGGCGGGCGGGTTGGCGGGCGCGCAGGCGGGCGAGCTCGCGCGCGGGCGAGCGGTCGCGCAGGCGGGCGGGCGGGCGGGCGATCGGGTGGGCGGGCAAACGGGCGGGCGCGTCGGCGGGCGAGCGGGTGGGCGACCACTCCACGGGCAGAAACAAATTATAGTTGGTTTCGGTTTCTTGTGGTGCCTCCTGACGAAGACAAGCTTGCACGTGTTCCGTATCCTGGCGTTGCCACGTAGCACGTAATTCCCCAATTAGTGCTTGCATTGAAGGGGTCCTCGCGGAAGTTGAAGGATTTGGCGAAAGTTTCCCGCCGATCTTGGTCGCACGCTGGGTTCCCGGGTTCCCGGTTCCGGGTTCCCAGGTTCCCAGTTCCGGTTTCCGGGCCGATTTCGGTGGGCGGCGAGGTTCCCGGGTTCCCGGGTGTTTGGTCGATCTTCTTATCGATCGGTCTCACCACCGATCTCATTAATTACCCCGATCTCACCATCGATCGCACAATCGATCTCACTATCGATCTCACAAGCGATCTCACTAGAGATAGCATGAGCGATCGCGCGATCGATCTCACTATCGATATCATTCAACCGATATCACTCTCGGTCTCACGATCGACCTTACAACCGTCCCCATGGTTGATTACACGATCGATATCATTATCGATTTCACAATCGATCTCAAGATCCATAGTATTGATGTTCAAATCATCCACTAGTTGGTTTTCTCAGATGTAATACAATAGCAGTTGTTCGTCCTCTCGGCGCTGCTACGTGACGTACATAGAGCAGGATCAAATCAGTTTGCGTCCCCTTCCGATGCCATGTGCCGAGTCGAGTACGACAGCGCCCAGCCTTTTCTCCAAACGATTCCTAGACGTTTCCTCCGCTTTCTCAGGTAAGGGCTTCGAGGATTTCGTATATTAATGACGGGCCGCCTGGCTCCTGGGTAGCCATGCGATGGGAGGAGCAGAATCGAATGTGTTCCCCCTCCCCCCCTACGTTGCCACCTGACGGGTCACGTCGAATAGACAGTTTTCAGCCAACAGTGTTGCCACGCGGAGAAAACAACGGGATAGTATGGCTTTCAGCCAATTTCGTGTAGTTGTTTAACGAATAGCGGAGAATCCTGTGTTTTCCGCCCCCCTCTGCGCTGACACGTCCCAGGGATGCCATGTTATGAGCAGGGCAGCTTTTTATTTGTTCCCGCCCTCTGCGGTGCCACGCGACGAGTACAGTCGACGATCGAGGACACCTGACGGATTGCATCAACCTCCCGATGGGTCCCTAAGCATTCTGTTGGATTTGGATTATGGTCAGGCCCAGAGATGGAGGGTGGTAGTGGGGGGCAAGGGAGTGGGCTTCAGGCTGGAGAGGTCCATAGGGAGGGTGGGTAGCTCGTCGTCGCCGTCGTCGTCGTCGTCGGCCAGCGTCGTCGTCGTCGTCGTCGTCGTCGTCGTTGTCGTCGTCATCGTCGTCGTCGTCAACGTTCGCTGGCGTCGTCGTCGTCGTCTTCGGCCTCGGCGGGCGCGGGCGTCGTCGTCGTCGTCGTTGCCGTCGTCGTTGTCGTCGTCGTCGTTGGGCGTCGTCGTCATCGTCGTCGGCGTCGTTGGATCCGTCGTGGTCGTCGACGTCGTTGTCGTGGTGGTCGTGGTCGTCGGCTGACGTCGTCGGCGTCGTCGTCGTCGCCGTTGTCGTCGTCGTTGTCGGTCAGCGTCGTCGTCGTCGGCATTAGTCGTCGTCTACGGCCTGTGCGGTCGTCGTCGTCGTAGATGTCGTCGTCGTCGGCTGGCGCGGCGTCGTCGTCGTCGACCGTCGACTTCGTCGTCGTCGTCGGCCTTCGTCGTCGTCGTCATCGGCCGTCGTCGTCGTCGTCGTCGGCTGGCGTCGTCGTCGTCCTCGGGCGTCGTCGTCGGCGTCGTCGCAGTCGTCGTGGTCGTCGACGTCGTTTCGTCGTTCCCATCATCGTCGTCGTCGCCGGTGTCGTCGTCGACGCCGCCGCCATCGTCGTCGTCGTCGTGATTGTTGCCGTCGTCGTCGTCGACGTCGTTGGCTGGCGTCGCCGTCGTCGTTGGCGCCGCCGTCGTCGTCGCCGTGGTCGTCGTTGTTGTCGACGACGTCGACGTCGTCGTCGGCTGGCGTCATCGTCTGCCAGCGTCGTCGTCGCTGGGGGAGAAGGGGGGGTAGGGAGGGGCTTCCGACTGGGGAGGTAACCGAGCGCCCCAGGTAATCAACTATCCCCCCTTAAGATTTGAGAGTTGACAGTCCCGGGCCAAGGCACGGTTGGTCGGGTGAACGGGCGGCGAGGCCGAACTTCGCTTCCGCCGGGGAAGTACGAATCGAAGTTGCTATTTATCTTCTTATGTTGATGAGCAGCACTTTCACGAACGTGTGGCAGTGATGTGAGATTCACACCGTTTCAGCTGTCGTAACGAACGCGTGGCAGGGCTATGGGATTCTCACCATTCCAACTTTCTCAAGTCACGAACGTGTGGCAGGGCCGTGGGATTCGCTACTATTCGAATCAGGGGATCTTGGCGCGCTCCGCGACGCCTCCAAGCACAGGGCGAGCTCTAGGCCTCTGACGCGAAACGCCGAGGTGCTGGGGACCGAGAGTCTCGAGGCCGTAATTGCTCAAGTAGAGACTCGCATCCGTACATGCGAGTTCCGAGGCCACCAGAGGAAAACATCCCATCCTTACCTCTGTACATACGAGTCGCTGGGACGAGAAATTGGTTATCCCCCCGAGCCCCGAATGTTATTATCACCTGGATGTGATTATCATGGGCATTCGGTTACGAGAGGGAAGGGGAGGGGTTACATTTCGGATTTCGGAAGAGAGGAGGGGAATGGGGAGGGGAACGGGAGGGGGATCTCGTCGGGAGGTCCAAGAGAGGGGGGCGGGCAGCTTGCAGAGGGTGCTGGGGAAAGGGGGGGAGGGGTAGGGGGGTCTGGCCGTGGAGGCTCAAGGGGGGGGGATAGCTTCCGTGGGGCAAAATCAAAGGGGAGGGGGGCGGCTTCCATCTGGGGAGGTAAGGGAGGGGGGACGTCGCTTGCAGGGGTCGCAGGAGGAAGGGGCGGGGAGGGGGGAGGGCTTCCGGCAAGGGAGTCGAAGGGGGGACGGGGGGGCTTCCGACAGAAGAGGTCCAGGGGGGGGGGACTAGGGTAGCAAAGGGGGGACCCCCCTCCCCGTGGCGCTGTCTCCCGTGGCGCGCTCTCTCATACGTTCCTTGGTCCCACTCTTCCGCGCACATGCCTCGGGTCATGATGCGCTAACCTTCCTCTTCCTGGACACCCTCTTCGGCGCATTCGAGGAAAGCCGGTGCCGGAGAATGGGTCGAGACATCTAAGTGTTCATGTCGTGAAGGGATCACGGCGCCGAGGGATTTTCGGGCTCCCTGACATCCTCCACGGCGTCTCGCCGTGACATTCTGGCGCCGTGGCTGGGGGCCCTTACGGATCGACCCGGCTTTCAACATGAGGCGCAGAGGTGGGCTCGGGGCCCATTGTCGCAATATTTTCGCGACGTTGTGGTTTTGCTCACGGCTCTGAGTGTCGGGTTGTTTGAATGTCGGGGTTTCCCAAACTTAGTGGCATGATCAGCGCACGTTTATATTTCGAAAGTTGACGGAGCGGGGGTTTGGACGGTTATTGGGAGTTAACCAGCGGATGGGGAATGGTCGGGGGTTTCGTAGAGGGGGGGTTATCCCAAGGTGGGGTGGGGGAGAGAACCCAGCTGGAGGCTGATCTTTCCTTGTCCACGGGCCGTCCAGAACAACATTCTTCGACCCCACCATCTGTCCCTACCCCCTATCTAAGGCTGGGGAGATGGGGGGCGAGTGCGATTGAGAAGCGGGGGGAAGCAACGGAGGGAGTTGGTGTCAGGGGTCGTAGGGTTGCTTCCAGTTGCCCTGAGGCCACCGTCGGACGAGGGCGAGGAGGAGGACGAAGAAGAGTCCGAGGACAACGCAAGGGCTCAAGTCCACAGGGGGATTGCCAGATCCCGGAATCCAGAACAGAACCTGTACCAGGAAGCTGGGTGCACATGTCTTGGCCAGCCTACGCGAGAGCTGGATACACGCGTGGCCGCATGCCTTTCCAGTGCTCGGCCATCGTGTGGCTGGGTACGCCAGCCATTCGCATGTGTATCAAGCAAGGGCCTCTATATGATCAATGCGTGGGTCCAGCGGCATATGTTTCCAGTTTCTTGGTGCCCCCACGTCACCTCCCTCCTTTCTCAGTTCCCGCTCTTCAGCACAATTCTTCGTGATTTGTCCGGTTGGGTGCAGTCTCAGCGCTGCGCGGGCATACTGCAGTCGTTCTCCATGGACGACTCTTTAGGCCACCCGGTATAATGTATAATCATACCGCCTCCCTCCCGCGTGCCTCCCTCCGCACTCACCCCTCATCCCTTCCTCCCTCCTTTCTCCTTTTCTTGCGCAGGCTGCCGAGCGCCCAGGGCGCTAGTAGCGTCAGGTGGGCGCGGCAACATGGCGCCTCATCGCTCACACGGGCGAACATCGCGAGAGGCCGCGCCCGGCAAGTCCCAGAAGACCCTGGCGAACAGGACCCCAGTGATGTGGTCGAGAGCGCCAGGGCAGGCAAGGCAGCACAGCGGCCCGCGGACACCAGGAAGACGACCCCAGCGACCGAGGGCTCCAGCAAGTACAGCAGCCCGGCCAGGGCCAACAGCAGTGACAAGGTGAGAACCCCAAAAAGTCAAAGTAGCTTCCAAGAGCCTGGTGAGGACCGAGGGTGGGCCCAGGAGAGGTGGTCGTGGCCCTGGTCAGGATGAGGAACGTGTAGAGGCAGACACCTCGACGCACTCCTCGACAGGCATCGCCGCGCCGACGAGCGGAGACAAGGAAGCAAGCTGGACGATGGGGAAAGAGTGTGGGGAGACTGTCGGGCGGGGCCCGCAACGGGGTGGAGCTCGGCTGCCACTTTCGCCACCCGTGCAGGCCCTCGCCCAATTCGCCCCCGCGCAAGGCACCACAGGACTTCGGAAGCAAGAAAGGCAGCAGAGAGACAAGGTGGAAGAGAGAGGTAGGGCAGCTGTAGGAGCAGCTTGAGGCAAAGTACACCAGCTAGACCACATCCCAAGAAAGCAACCTGGAATTTCCTGATCCTGAACATCCTGGAAAGAAGGGGCCTTCGTCGCGCTGGTGCGCTTCTGTGGAAGGGGGGCCTGAGGGTGGCGCTCGGGGTTTGTCTCATCCCCTGCCACTTACGCTCCCCAAGCCCCCCCCCCACGCCTCCTCGCACGGGCTGAGTCCAGCTCGCGTCTGCGGAGGCACCTGTGCTGCCATGCGCAGCGCCTGCAGCCACGCGCACGGGAAGGCTAGCAATTGCCAACGTCCGTGCCAGCACACGCGAGATGCCCTTGGGCCAGTCACCTAGTTCACGCCCCAAGCCTCCTGCATGGAAATGATATGAGCAGACACATTTCGAGGCGTGCTGCTCCAGCTCGGACTCGAAGTGCGCGTGGATGGCCATCACCGTGGTGGCCTCCATCTCGGTGGCCCGCAGCATACAAAAATCTAATTCATACTCCTTCACTTGCTCCCCGAAAACATTTGCTAGTAGTGGTAACGCTCCAACCATCCGCAGAAAAAAGGCAAGCTCCACTGCAAAGAAAACTGCAGGAACGCCAGTCTACAGGGCTGCCTCCAAGACCCCCCAACACGATCTCACCGGATTATTTTCAACCAATAAACGCCTCCTAGCATCATCTCCGAGCTGCTGTAGTCCCCATGGTTCCTCTGAAGAGCGCCGTGGTCGCTGAACTCCGGGGCATCCTTCGAAGTCCAACCACGTTCGCATAGTTGGCGCCAAGACTATCGCTAACACGTTGCCCTGCCTCATGTTGTCCAAGATGGCGTCGACCAAGGTCTGAGGCATATGACGTACTTGATCCTCATCATCAAGGGCGGGGAGCCGCATGATCTGGACGACCTGCCCACTTATCTTTCAAACCACTGTCCAACGTCAACGCGCTCCGAAGTACCGCTGCAGAGATGGTAGAACTTGAGGGGGGTAAGACCAAACCATTCTGAGACGCGCTGAGGGATGAACAGGCGGCGCCAGCTCCACCCCCACCTTGGGCGGCGCCGTCGGGTAGTGGGGCCCGCCTCTCCCTTCCAAGTGCGCCTCTCTTATGGCATGCTGGAAGACCCTGCTGTAGCTGTATCCACGATGTACCAGGTCACGCTCGCGAGTCAGGTCATGCTGACGTAGTTCCTCAGCCTCCAAGGGGGGCAACATATCACCGTTTTGCAGTAGCCAGTAGCCAGCCAATGCAGCGATTGCCTGTCCGCCGAAGGCGTCGAAACAGGTTGGATCTGTCACCAAATTGCACGCCGCAGGCTCCGCACTATGTACCTCGCGCAACCAGTTGTGCCCCGTCAGTGGGCTGGTGGTCTAACCGATGTTTGCGCCACGCTGCCGCTGACTCCGTCTTCCAACCACATTCGTAACAAACCTACCTTTCCTCCACTGATAGCAGCGCCTCCGCGCCTTCACGAGCCAAGCGGAAGGTGCCTTTGCCATTGCCGAACTTGCCCTGCCTCCAGCTCTTTAGACACGAATATCTTCCAGGCTCGCTTGACGGCCTTGCGAGACGTGGCTGAGTGTGCACCTGCGTGCTCGAACCATCTCCTCAGTTCCCATTGGGCCCTGCTGACATCTTTGTCAAAGGAGGCAAGCCACTGCAAGTCGCGCCGGAAAAGTGCCGCCCATGCTCCTGGGAGACTAGCAACCTGGCCTAGAAGAAACCAAAGAGCCTGCGGCGCTCCTAGGAACAGCGATCCGAAGTGCGTCAAGCGTTTCTTCCTCATGACGTATTGCAGTCGGACCCGTCGAGCGTCGCGCAGGATGCCTTCGTCAGTGAAGCGCTGCTCTGAACGCTTGTGATGTAGTCGGCCTTGGACATCACGATATGGCATGATACGATGTCCTTCAAGCAGGGTGATAGGTGCTGTCCCCCAAACTTCCACCGCGTAGATTCGGCGAACGCTGGCCACTGCGTCAACTAAATTGGTCTTGGCAGGCAACGATATCTTCCCGAACTTTGCGCACGTCCGACGACTTGGGCCGAGGGCTGCCACCTGCTTGCGAATGGCCATGGGCGCCCTTGGCCCCACCAGCCCGAACTAATCGAACATCGCGCCCAAGCACTTGCACTCACGAGCCACATGGGCTCGAATGCCAAACCTCGGGGAGTCCACGAGCAGGTGCCCGCTAGCTTCGAGACTCTGCTTCAGCTCCAGACTGCGGTTCGGCCCTGGTGCGATGAAGATGGCCGGCTTGGGCAGCTCGTAGTTCATTGCGAAGCCGTGCGTCAGCATGGCTCGATGGGCAGCGTCGGCCATGCCCCCCGCCATCTCCAATGGGGTCCGCCTCTGAAAGCGGGAGATGAGCCTGGTCGAGGGCCTCGAGGAGATCGAGCTGCCGAGGGCAGAGAATCCGCGCAAAAGTGCGCGCCCCTTTGAGCTTCCACCAACGGCGCCGGCAAGCGCGGCGATGCGCCCGGCCCTTCCAGGGCACCTGGCTGATTGAGGATGAAAGAGAAAAGAGGCACCATGCTCAGCGGCAGCTCGTGGTTGCGCTCCAAATATGAAATATCGCCGTCCACGTCTTCCGCCAGCGGCGAGACAAAGCTCCTCGCTACCGAATAGAACCCCAAGCGAGGTCGACGAAATACACGACTGCTCCTCGCCCCTGGTGCTGGGCTACCTTCAGGAAGGTAGAGGCGGTCTGGGCAAGCGCTGCTGTGCCTTTCCCATGCCTGCCTCCGCGCTGGGTCTCCTGCAGTAGGATGTCCAAATATGAGCTGGCCTGTGTTCTCAGAAACCTATGCCAACACTTGCTGGCCCTGCTGTTGAGGGGTATGCTGCGGTAGAAGATGGGCAACGCGTAGTTCCCTGATTCCTCATGCAGAGGGTAAATTGTACCACGCTTCCAGACCAGCGGTTCCTGCTGATGCACACTGGTCTTCATGGGGGCAGGGCGGTCTACTCGCGCCGTCTCTCTGGGGGAGCCCCTCTGGATATCCCCCATCGATGCCGTCCTTGCCGCTCGCTTTGCGACGCTTGACCTGAGAGAAAAGCTCGGGCACTTGCGCCGTGGAGGGCACCAGCTGCGGACCCAATCGGACTTTATCAGGGTCATGGCGAGGGCGTTGGGTGCGCTCTGCTGCCAGGTCTGCGTCGTCGAGTACCTCTGCAACCCAATAGCCGCGGAATGCTGGATCACCTAGGTGCCCGCCTCCTGTGCCGTAGTAGCATCCGTGCCATCAACGGCCTTCAACGTCGGGCATCGACCAGCGCGTCCAGGCCGACCTCCGAAGCGCAGTCGTGTCTTCATCAGCCCCCACTCATTCCGCGTGTCTCCGCCCCTTGCAAAAGCGCCCATCTGCCTAGCAATATCTCCCAGGCGTGCTGCGCGGTCGTCGTCGACGCCTTTTTCCGCCCTAGCTGGGCCGCAGATGTCAAGAAACCATTAAGCGCGGCATGGAGGGCATCGTCGGTGACAGTGGCGTCGGCAACCTTGGCTTCGCACGCAAGACGAAGCACCGCAACTGCCTTATTTCATGACTGCAGCTGGTCTGCGTTGAACAAGGGGCCCTGCAGGTGCGCCGAAAGGTTGGCCCATGGAGGCGACGCTGGCGCACGATGAGACAGCCACCTGCGCGCCCGAGCTACGTAGCGACAAAGGCGTACCAGTCTCGTAGTCTCCTTCACAACGTTGCCCTTGATCGATGTTAGACGTGTCTTGTCAAGGCAAGTTTGCGTCGCAGCCGTGATGGGGCTGGTGGCAATGATCGCGTGCCCGTTCACGTCCGTCGCCCAATCTGGAATAGTAGCTGCTGAAAGAATTCGGCGCCACTTGTCGCAACGTTCGGGATCTCTCAGCTTGCCCGTGTCCAACGGCGGGGAAGTCTTGACCTTCGCCGGGGTCTTGG